CACAACGGACTGGCCTGTCCGTTGCTTCAGGTTGCTAAATTTCTGCTTTATGAACAAAATGTTCGCTCCGATCTCAGACACGCATTCGGCGCGGATCGCATCCCACGCTGCGGCAGAGTCGGCTGCTTGATCGATCAGCCTGTGAAAACGGGGCACCGTATATTTCACCAGCTGCGATTTTGCCTTCATGGACTTGTCGGCGACGGCGCTCGGCAGGTCTGCTGCCTCGTCCCACAAGTCCTTGCCGGCCAAACAGTACTTCATGGCCGTCCGCCAGCGAAAATAGTTGGCGTAGCTATCTAATCGCTCTACATCATTATCCTTCCCCATACTTGTCCTATCTCTAAGCCAGAGAGTTGCTAAGCCAGCAAGTTCGGACACAGTACTTAAGCAAAACGCTCGCTCGCTTGCCGCGGCGGCGCGGGGCTCATAACCTGTTAAGATATAGGCGAGTGGAACTGTGTAGGTAAAGCCAACCTTAACCGTTACAGGTATCACAGAACAAGCTTTCAGTCAGAACATCATCTCCTTTATACCAAACATTCCATCTTATCTGTCGTACAGCCGTTAGTGTTCTGGCCGGAAGTCAACAGAGCCTTGCTTGTGCGTGTGTTACATGGTTGGAGGTTGCGTGACCCCATACCTGTAAAACTACCCATACAAGCCGAAGGCCCAAGGGCAATACCTAAAGCCTAAACGCTCGCAGAAGCACCAGCAGGGTTGCAGCAGTGCGTGTGGGATATGGTTAGCCTCATGGTGCTGTCCGCTAGGGAACATGCACGGGCGGGGCTGCGGGGCTGCGGGCAGCACCCACCCCCCCCGCAATCCACCCGTGGCGCCCGCGCGGCCCTGGCAGCCCTGTTGGAGCTCCTGAGGGGCCGTGCGGTGGTCGACTCCTGCCAGCAGGTCCAGGGCTTTGCAGAGCTTGGCGTGCCCTGGGGCAACGTTTTTGAGGGGGGGCAGTGTGGGCCCCGACCACCCCATTTTACGCCTGTGTTGCGTACAGCCAGTAGGGCTGGGAGAGGAAGGGGAGGAGGAATAGAAGGGGGTGCCGGGAGGACCTAGCGAGGGGGAGCGCTAACCTGCTGGGCGGGTAGGGGATAGGCCTGAGGGTTTTTCTTTGTTGAGTCTGGGCTTCCGGAGGGCTTTTTTTCGAGGGGGAGGGCTTGCCTCGCCACAAGGTGCGCCAAGGCAGGGACAGTGGGAGTATTTTGAGAGGTCGTTGCTGTAGGGCTTGGGAAGAGTCGCAGGTGAAGGGGGTGGCAGTAGAGCAGACTGGGTTTGCTGTTGGGCACTGGCGGCTAACAGAACGCGTAAGGGACGGCGTTATATACCTAGGGAGGAGCGAGTATGCCCTTGCTGCGGCACTGGTAGCCACATCGAGGATGAGAAACACATTTTGCTGGACTGCCCGGTTTACGACGGAATCAGATCTGATATGGGCTTTCCACGCTTCGAACATATGAAGGACGCTATGAAGTGGGAACCTGAACGCCTGGCAAGGATGCTGGAACGTATATGGTCTCACCGCAACTCTATCGTTCCCTTTGGTCGTTAGTATACTTCATCACTTGTTTCGCTGGAAGTGCGAGGTAGGATGGTGCTTATAGGCGATTTGGCAGCCCTTGAGCCCTCGGCTCGTACTAGGGTGGTTTGCAGGTACGGGGAACGCACCCACGACCATATGACAACAACAACAACAACAACAACAACAAAGACTGGGTGACGCTGTGTGTGAGTTGTGCCGGTCGGGTGCTGCCTCAAGGCATCCCTAGCCCCGTCGGTGAACTGATAGCTGCTAGCCTAGTCCGTGCCCGGCCCCCATCGCGTGTGCTTAAGAGGTGGTTAGCGTGCGTTTCTTGAACCCTGCCCGCTGCCCCCCAACAGAGAATCAGGTGATAGACCGAGCTTCCTAATAGGGCCTCGTGCATTAGTAGGGGGGGTAGAGTCTGTACAGGGTCTTGGAGTTTCCTCTGTCTTAGTGAACCCTCACCCCAAGAGCCAGATCAGGCCGGGGATGGAGAGGGGAGTCTTGTCAGGCTCAGTGCACAAACTCCCGTTACAGAGCCTTGACTCGTTAGAGTTTGTGAGCGTGCGACGCCTCCCACCCCCCGGGGGATGAAAGCGGAGCTAGCGGACCTGCGGCTCTGGGCTGCTTAGGGGGGGCAAGAGGCCCCTCGCGCCCTTCTCCCGTCCGCGGGAGAGAGCTTAGGCGGTCTTTCCGTTGGGGCTGGGCAGCAGCCCCTGGCCAGTGTCAGGCCCGGTCAGATACTCGTAAATTTCCCCCCTCTATCCGACCCACACACGCACACACCCACCCTCACACGCACACACGCAATCCCCCCCCACACACACGCACGCAATTCCCGTATCACGGCGCAGATAAAACAAAAAGCACACGCATGTACGGCACCACCACTGCACGCGCGCACAACCCCAAGGGCGATAAGCTGTCCTGAATTGACATAGTCAAAGTAACATTTATACTATATGACGAAGGGCGACTATAATATGATTCATAGGTTCTGTTGGCTTTGTCGCCTGTGTGCGCATGGATGTTATTTTGAGGACTGCACTGTGCACATTTTCCGACATTGGTCCATGACGAGAGAGTGAGAGAAACGCCCGGGGGTTTCGGTGTTGCGGGTTCTACTTATCGGGCGTTGCAATGTAAAGGCTTGCTGCACCAGCTGCCCTATCGTTGCGTGCATGCAAGTGTTAGAGTACATGGCCTACTGCAGGCTCGAGATGGTTTGATAAGGTTTTAGGTACGGAAAATGAAACGCGAGAGGTTTTGTTACGCGAGGTGGGGTTGGCTGGTTGCGTGCTGGCAAGTTTGCTAATCATCTGGCGTTTCCTTGGGCATCGTTCAGACACTCAGTGCCAAAACAGGCTCGGGTCAGCAGGCGGCACCCTGTGCGATCGGTGCCACAATTCTCACGGGACCCCGGATGCGTCAAGGAGTCGTTTTGATTACTTACTGACTCTCCCAACGCGTGCAGCAATAGCCTTTAATCAGCCACTGATTGCAGAAAGAAACACCGACGGCACAAAAGCTTATCAGGAAAAACATGTGGTAAAGGATGCCACAGAGAATACTGTCCTTTTTACTTGGTAAGGACCGAAAAGCAAGCATTTGGGCGAAAGTGAACTGACGGGGCGCTTACAGCAACGGGCAAATCATGAACGAAAGTACGCGTCGATATCTAGTATGTACCTACAGTGTGCTAGATGTTGGTGTACAGTAGAAATGGCACTGCTGCTGCCTTTCGCTCCAAGTGCGATGCCAGGCAGTCGTGTGTACGGCCGTGTGGCTATATATCATCTGCTGCTCACACGAGGGAATTTCAGTTCGGAAAATCCTAATCGAGGGGTAATCATATTAAAGGGATAGTCATTGTCGTGCAAATCTCACAGAAGAATCGGAGAGCTACCTTGGCGTTTGGAAGGCGACGGTCCAACCCATTGCGAAGACTTCACTCCATAGGGCTGACTTACCATTGTAAATTATAATCTACAATGGAGGGCGGGCCAATGATGATGCGGAATTTTCAGGTAAGCAAGCCTGAACTTGGAAAGACTCGAGCACATTTCTGGCCCGATAATAAGCCTTTGCAAACGTTGGCCTTCTTACAGAATATACATGCTCTGGGTAGTGGCAGCTTCGGCACAGTACGCCTTGTTAAGGATGTCAACACCGATAAGCATCTTGCAATGAAGATCCTAAACAGACGTGATGCCAGCAAGTATGTGGAAGATGAGATTGTTAACCATAGTCTCCTTCGGCACCCGCACATCGTGCACTTCCGCGAGGTGTTCATCCACGACGATTTCTTGTGCATCGTCATGGAATACGCGAACGGAGGTAGCTTGTTTAACTTGGTCCGCACACAGCGACGACTGAAGGAGAGCATGGCCAGGTGGTTTTTCCAACAGCTTATCCTTGCTGTCGACTATTGCCACAAGCGTGGTGTCGCGAACCGTGACATCAAGCTGGAGAACCTGCTGCTACACACGGAGGAGGGTTTGCCGCACCCGTTGCTGAAGATGTGTGACTTCGGGTACAGTAAGGCCGATTTCAGGTCGGCTGCTAAGAGCCAGGTCGGCACGGTGAGCTACATGGCCCCCGAGGTCATGAAGAGCTGCGGAAGGTTATACGATGCCAAGGTGGCCGATGTGTGGAGCTGCGGCGTCGTGCTCTACGTCATGCTCTACGGGTAATTGCCACGGCATCTTAGCGAAATGCTTTCATCGCCTTGATAGTTTCGTTACAGTGGACTAATTAAATCCCAGAGGGCACATGGGATCTAAACTGTACGCAACCGAATCTCATGTATCCTCACTCAGTCTCCCCCACTGAAACCTGAATGCCAAAAGCGGAGCCCGCTCTCACCTCGCCACCCAACCCTAATTTCCGCCCCCCTCACCATATGTACGGCAGTGTATGCTCGTACATTTCCCCTCGTCCGATGGTGCAGCAAGCGGTGCACAACACCCGACCGACCCGTAGTATCCTTCCACACCCTATCGTACATACACATACACACGCACACGCCTCTCCCCCGCACCTTCCCGCCCGCAGCGTCTACCCCTTCGACAACCAGGGTGAAGAGCAGGGGCTCAGCGAGGCGGAGAAAGTCCGCAGGATGCTGAAGCGCATGGAGACGGAGTCGTACGTCCTCAGCCCCGGAGTGCAGGTGAGGGAGCTCAGCGGGTTAGGGGGTGGCCGCCCATGCGTGGGGGGAGGAGAGTAAGCGTTCCGGGGGAAGGAAAGACCCAATCGCGTTATAAAGTTAGACGAAGAGAGGACTCGATCCGGGGATCTGTCTTGGTAAAGTGAAGGGTCAGGGGAGGAAAAAGTGTGTTGGTGAAGAAGCGTTGACGAGGAAAAGGGGTTGCCCTTGGTAGTGTGCAGGCCGTTGTTGGACCAGAGAGAAGTAGAAATTAAGTAGAAGCGGCGTAGGAAGGAAGTAGTAGTAGAGGAGGAGGAGGAACCGAAGTAGATGGAAGAGAAGTAGAAGCGACCCGAAAACCTGATGGATGCGAAGAGAGCGCCCTCCTGAAAATCGCGAGTGCGCGGCCCAAGCAGCGGCGCCGGCGGTATCGGATAAGTGGGGTTCGGCATCTGCCGATCCGGCACCGTTCGTTCCGTGACACCCCGCACCCCCCGCCGGGTAATCGTGACACCCCGCAAACCCCGCCGGGTAATCGTGACACCCCGTCAGGGTTTCGCCCTCCCCACCCACGGGGGGGATGTGGTTTCGAGGAACGCAAAAATGCGATGATGAACTGGGGGGTGAGGGAAAAGGAAAGGGCTCTTAACCTCTGGTTACATCAGGAGCCATGCTGCCATGCCTCGCATTGAACTCGTGGGAGAAAGAATTTCGCGGAGGACGGCGGGGTGGCGAGGTGGCGCGGGTTATGGAGGGGGTGGGGGTGGGGGGCCACAGCCACCACACCAACCAATTCGCACGAGTTGATTGTTTTCTTCCCCCTCCTCCTCCTCCCCGCCATCCCCCGCCTCATTTCCCTCCCCCTCCCCCGGCTCCGCATCTCGGGTATATTTGCTTAATTCGCCAGTGGCTCGTCCCGTCTTATCACCGCGTCCTCCCCCTCCTCCCCCTCCTCCTCCTCCTTCCCCCTTCCACTCCCACTCCCACACCTCCACAGGTGACGGAGGAGTGTATCGATATGCTACGGGGGCTGCTCAAACCGGCTCCGGAGCAGCGGTTCACGATTGAGAAGATCATGGAGCAACCCTGGTTCAATAAGAAGTTGCCGCCGCAGGTAGCTAGGCGTGGTGGTTTGTATGTATGTATGTATGTATGTATGTATGTATGTATGTATGTATGTATGTATGTATGTATGTATGTATGTATGTATGTATGCATGTATGCATGTATGTATGTATGTATGGGACAGGGGAGGTCATATTATCACCCGTGGCCGCTACCTTGCGAAACCCTGCCTTCCCCGGTATTTCGGGGCACCCTCATCCAGTCACCCTAGTCAACTTCTCAGTGGATCGCTCAGGTTCCGCACCCACCACCGGCATCCAACGGAATCTGCCGGATCAACGGCCTGGTCAACTCCATGTATGTATCTATGTATGTATACCATCTACCATTCCTTCGCCCCTTCCCTCGCCCCTTCCCTCGCCCCTTCCCTCGCCCCTTCCCTCGCCCCTTCCCTCGCCCCTTCCCTCGCCCCTTCCCTCGCCCCTTCCCTCGCCTGTCCCCAGGCTCGGGAAATGAACGTGTACTACCTGAACCTGCCCGTGCCCCCGGAGTACCAACAGCCGGATCAGATTAAGAAGTTGCTCGAGGAGGCGCGTGCGGTGGGCGGACGGTGAGGAGTGAGAGAGTGTGAGAGAGTGCGAGCGAGGAGGAGGAGGAGGAGAGGAGGCGCGTGCGGTGGCGGTGGCCGGCGGTGAAGGAGGGGGAGAGGCGGGCCCTTGTGCCGGAGAGCGAACAGACCCGTGTGGTGGTGGTGGTGGTGGTGGGCCGAGTGCTGAAAAGCGGTGCGAGCTGACGAGGGGGTGGTGGAGGAGGAGGAGGAGGAGAGGAGAGGAGGAGGAGAAGGGGCACAGGACTGAAAATGGCGTGTTTTATTTAGGACATGTTCAAACATCGCAACAGCTTCCTGGTGCCGCAGTTATCTATGAATCCTTCTAGCCAGCTCGGCAATGTATTTAGGATAGCCGCTTTCGGGGTTTAGTTCGCCCTGATACAAAGGTATGTGGTGTTTTTATTTCTCGGGTACCGGATGAGCCTAATTGGGGATAGGGGGTTACGCGGGGTAGCGCGAGCACATATGTCGTATGTATTTGTGTATTTGTGTATTTGTGTGTGGCGTAGAAGGGGAAGGAATGAGGAGGGGAGGGCAGGGGGAAGGGGAGGGGGAGGGGTTTTCCGACGTGGGACCGATCGTGGGGGGTTTTCCCATCCGGAGCGGGAGATGACGTCAGGTGTTCGTTAGCGAGCGCATCTTAAGCGGTCTGTGATGTGTACGTAATCATATTGTTCGTACGTATGTTTATGCGTCTTTATGTTGTGCGCGAATGGCGAGTTCCCCTGTGAGACAGTACAAGCGTACATACAGACATACACACAGAGATACGGACATATTTGTATGCACTTGGGTGTATATATGTATGTATGTTAGCGTAAACCATCTTCATTGTCGTAGGGCCTAGTACGGCAGAATGGCGTTTTTACGGTTCCTTGCATCTAAGGGTTTCTATGGGGTTTTAGGGTTTTAGAGGGTTTTGTTAAGGTTTTAGAGTTCTGATCTTCTCTTCTGAGCTGTGCTGATTGACAACTTCGTCACGGAGCCCCTTAAGACTCGTGAGCCACATCCTCAGTTTGAGAGAGAGTGTGTGTGTGTGCGCGCGTGTGTGTGTGTGTGTGTGTGTTTGAGACGCGCATGATATCATGTGAGAGGGGAGTTCGAAAGGCGGGATGGGGGGTGAGCCTGTGAGCTGCGTGCCGACCGTGCGGCACGGTCCTAACCATTCTGTGATGTCGTGAGGTGAGGTGAGGTGAGGTGAGGGGGAGCAATCACACATACACACACTTACACGCGGTGTGGATGGAGGGAAAGCGGCAGATGATAATGGCGATGAAGAGGGGGGGGAGGAAGGGGGTCCGGGGGGGGGGACGAGGGGGAGGGGGAGGGGGAGAGGAAGACGACGACGTCCATGACGACGTCCACGACTTCTTGATATTCTTTCAGTTTTCAGAAATGTATTACCACATCATCATCGCGATGTGGCCTGTGTTGTCTCGTTCACATGCTTTAATTCACAAGTGTCATTCTCTTTACCGTTATTATCGGGGCTGTTAGTTAGTTAGTTATATAATTAGTGACGACACCATTGACCTTTCCTTTTCCTTGCCAGGCACAGGGGATGTGTGTTTTAAATTATTTAAGCTGCGATGAATGTATGTATGTATGTATTTTGTCAGTCCCTCTATGCCGTCGGGCATGGGCCTGCATTGAAGGGGGGTCTCTGTCCGCTCCTCGGGAATTAGGGGGGTGGGTCCGTCAGTGTGTATGTAGGGGTGTCTGTCTGTAGGTGTGTGTGTCTGTCTGTCTGTCTGTCTGTCTGTCTGTCTGTCTGTCTTTGGCAAGAGCGGAGCTACGGAGCCTCGGGATGTGTAAGAATCGCCGTTGGGGGAGGGGATGTGTACCCCTGTATGTCTGCGTGTCTGTGTCTATGTGTTTGTCGTACGCACATATGTTTACACGCACACATGCACATTCCGCAATGCGTGCTGCCAAAGCTGTAATATGACATACATACGTACATGTACGGCATTCCAAGTCTCAAGCCTAAGACGTATGGGCTATATTTTTCATTTGCAGTTGGAGCCGACGGTTGGTTGGTTGGCTCGTTGGTTGGTTCTTGTGTGTGAGCAAATGGGCTGAGTAGTTCAGGACGGCAGATCTCACGCCGGTGCGTTCGTATGTCTGTACGTCTTGCGAGTCTGTGCAGCTGGGCAGCCGTGTCGGCTTTAGTTAGGTGACTGAGACCACTGTACTACTTTGGCCTGTTTTACACACATCCATGTACGGTCGGCACCCTCATCCATTAACTGTCTGAAGTCTGTCTGTGTGTGTGTCTGTCTGTGTGTGTGTCTGTGTGTGTGTGTGTGTGCGTGTGTGCGTGTGTGCGTGTGTGTGTGTGTGTGTGTGTGCGTGTGTGTGTGTGCGTGTGTGTGTGTGTGTGTCTGTCTGTGTGTGTGTGTGTGTGTCTGTGTGTGTGTGTGTGTGTCTGTGTGTGTGTGCGTGTGTGCGTGTGTGCGTGTGCGTGTGTGTGTGTGTGTGTGTGCGTGTGTGTGTGTGTGTGTGCGTGTGTGTGTGTGTGCGTGTGTGTGTGTGTGTGCGTGTGTGTGTGCGTGTGTGTGTGTGTGTGTGCGTGTGTGTGTGACTGGCTTACTGGCACAAAGCTGGTAGCCCCAGCTCATCGGTCCTCATTCCGAGGACATATAAGCTCCAAGGACATCTGGGTTTGCTGTTAGCAGGAAGTCGCGGAGGGAGGGAGGGTGAAATCTTTTAAACGGTATGGTGCCATCTGCATGTGGGTTGCGTTTGGGGAGACATTGAGGGGCGCATTATACTTGGGGGGTTTCGCCGGGCTTTGTGTTTGCCTGTGCTGCCAAGAGTTGCCCCGATGGCAGGAGTTGAGGTTCCTAGGCCCAGTTGTATACCTGCAAGAGGTACGTATGTATGTATGTATGTCCCTCCATGAATGTGCGTGGAATATGTGACCTCCTTCCCTCCCCTCGCAAAATTCGACTTTTCTGGGCTTAACGCATGCGTGCGTGTGTATGTATGTGTGTAAGTATGTGTGTGTGCCCACGCATCTATATCGCGACGGATCCTCCTGGTGTTCGTACGTCCTGGTCCTGTACGGCACAGTTTTCATTCGGTACAGTTTTGAAGGCTTTGGCCTGGAGTTTGCATGTACGGCGGGACTTTTTCTTTTTCTTGTGTCGTACTGGGAGTGAAGGTTTTCTTCCTTGGAAATGAATAGCGAGTTGGGTTTTGACTGGAGCTGATGACTTTTTAAGTATGTGTTAGTGCGGAGCGAGGTGCCACGTGTCGTACATGTGGTACATTGCGAGAGCGATGCTGCTGCAGCGTAGTCCTCGGCGCTGGCTTCGTTAAATGGTTCTTCTTTCTTTTCAACATCGAAGTGGTCGACTTCGGTAGTCCGGATATCCTGGAGGAGTTGAAGAATTGGGCATGGATTTATAATATGTGCATTAGTCTCTCTTTCCGTATAAAAAATATAACAACTCTTAAGTTTTGGAAAGAATCATGGCCCTTACCTGCGTCCGCCGTGTGATGCATTGTTCGCTGATTTGCAGCAGTAACCGGGCGAGACGTCTTGGAAGCCTGATGTACGGTCACAGCGACCTTTACAGGGAAGATCATCAGGGTCGGAATCAGTCTCAGACCTGATACTCAGGTATTGTAAAATTTTTCCGTGCCGTTTTATTTGCCAACTAGTACATTGTGTTTAGGCTTATTCACGCTTAGGCTTGAACTTGCATTGCAGTCAACATGGGGTCGAGAAAAGCGATCCTCGGTATTATCCTGGTGAGCTTGACCAGAGCAATCGCTGTCATTTAGGCTGTGCGTCACATATCCTTACAACTTTTGAACAAGACCTGAGAGATTACTTAGCGCTAGAAGGTCTAGACAAGTCACTGCTTACCGCGCTTCTTAAGGAGACAGTACTTAGAAACAGAAAGGGATCAGACTATATATTTCGCCACCCTGTTAGTGCTGCCAATGGCTTTCCGAAGGCGGAGCCGCGAGTCAGTGTTCAGCACCTTCTTGTGCAAGCAGAGGTCGGCAAACGCCGCTGGTACCACGGGTCCTTCCGTTGTACCCGTTGCAGCATCCTTCATCACAGGTACGGCAGCCGTACGGCAGGGTGCAGAAATTCCCCCCAAAAGGCAGGTTTGCGCAGTTGTGAAGGCTTTTTGAAGGCTTTTACCAAAACAAATTCCATACAGTTATTCGACCCTGGCACCAGTACCCGTGACAGTTATTCAGGGTTTGCCGACCTCTGTGTGCAAGCTGTGAGGGTCGTTGTGACCGTACATCATGTTGAAGTACTGCCTCCTTCAACACATCAGGCTTCCAAGGCTCCTTATCCTTTACGTCTGTTACTGATAGGGAGGCGCACTGAAGTTCGCTTTTCCTCTCATCTCCCCCGATCTCGTCGCTTTTTGAATGATAGAATTATTACATGAATGAATGAATGAGCTCTGTTGCAGCGGATATAAAATTTGTACAGAGGTGACCTTGTGCGGACCGACTGACTGACCTACAAGACCACAAACACTCGATTGTTATGGAAGACAGCTGACGAGATTGTAACACAGATTGTAACACAGAAGAGCCGTCATCCGCTTCTCCTTCTTCTTCTTTTTCTCCTCCTTCTTTTCTCCTCCTCCTCCTTTTTCTCCTCCTTCTTTTTCCTACTGTATGGATGATTTTCCTGCTAATTCGAATAGGTTGCTGCTGCTACATGATGTGTTGTCGACATTACACATACAGGCAGATAAATGTCACGAATATGTGCGAACGAAAGAAAAGAAACGCGCGACTAGGGTAGTCAGGTCCTTTGAAGCCTAAAACCGCTCGGGCCCGGTACGGCCAGTCGCCCCACAAGAGGCCTGGTACGGGAGAATACAGGATATGCAGTCGCTAAGTATCCAAGCACTGTAATAACCAAGAGATACACAGAGAAGATTTATATTGAGTGACCACGTAGGCTGATAACGACTTAGGGATCAATGTTCGACGTAATCACTCGCTCAATAACCGCGACTGGCTACAGAACCAAGGTTCGCTCAGCACGATATGCGAATATTTCACTTTTGATCCTTTGATTATAACCTTAGATGATGCATCAGGCTGAAGAGGAGAGAAGAAAAGAAGAGCGAAGAGAAGAGCTCCGTGTAGCGTGGACCGAAGCGAGCTAAGATCCATTAGCCGCTGCTGCGAGGCAAACTCCAGAGACCAAGACGAGCAGCACCTGATATAAGTAACAGATAAGTACCTCTTTGATTCCTTTTCTCCGAATGGCTTTTAGGCGTTTAGATATTGCCCTTGGGCCTTCGGCTCGTATGGGTAGTAGTTTTACAGGTATGGGGTCACGCACCCCCCAACCATGTAACACACACATACACATACACAACGCATTAAGAGCAGTTAATAGTGTCAGAAAGGCCATAACGGAAATTTCAACTAACTCCCTGACAGCTGAGCAACCGACTCAATTAAGCAACCGGTACTGGACATGGCCCCCTATCGCCCCCCGGTATTCGCTGGGGCCGCTATGTGCCATGCGCGGGGCCCCAGGTGTGTGTGTGTGTGTGTGTGTCTGTGTGTATGTGTGTGTGTGTTGTGGGGGAGGAATGGGGGAGCGCGCGGGGAAGGGGGGAGCGTGTAGGGGAGGAGGGGGGAGACGAACCACGTGGACGACTGAAGCTAATGCCAAGCTGCTAGACTGATGCGCCAGAAGTCAATGAGGCACAACTAACCAGTCGGCGGTTGCGAAGAAGATGTCCTCGCGATGATTTTAGTAGTCATGATGATAACGGAAAACTACCTACCTAGCTGCCAAAAGACTAATTTAAGTGCGAAAAGAGAGCAGAAAAAAGTCATCCGTAATATTGTAGAGGTAGGTGTAAAGGCGGCGAAAGAGCAGAAGACTGGCGTAAGTAGAGGAACAGGTGACGTAAGCTTGGATGCTTGAGGGGAGCGCGGGAGGGAATATGACGACGTCCGCAGTCGAAGCACCTTAATGACGAAAATAAGCCAAGCCGCCCATGGCCGCCGCCTCCTTCCCTCCACGGATTTACGGACCGGCCCCCGGGCCCCCCCCTCAAAACACACACACACACACACACACACACACACACACACACACACACACACACATACACACACACACACACACCAGCAGTTGTGTGCGAACTTTACAGGAGTCACTCCCGTCACTCTAGTATGTCGGGCAGTGTGCCGTGCAGCTCTCCATGCCCTCACCAACTGCGATCCATTCCGATAATGTCCTCCAACTTCATCAAGCGGACACCCGCGGCTGATGAGGAGTGTCCAAGGAGTCCGAGGAGATCTGACCCTGCGGGCAGCCAGGGGACCTGAACACGATAGGCGTCGCCGCCGTCACCGCCGCCACTGCTGTTGTCGACCGCCGTCGACCGCCGCTGCCGGCGCCACTTTCCACTTTCATGGCCGTCGTCTCCGCCTCCGCCGTCCCCGGCCGAAATCATTTCCCTAACGTACAAGTTCATAAACCGCCTCCGCCGCCTCCGCCGCTCCGTTTCCGCCGCAATGACGAGCGCCTTTCCGTTGTCCGGCTCCGCCCTTCATGCCCTCTGGTATCCACCACCACCACCATTGCCGCTGCCGCCGCTGCTGCCGCCGCCGCCGCCGCCGCCGCCGCCGCTGCTGCTGCCCACGTCACAGTCGCCACGTCATCATGAGGTGTCAAGCGATCCGACAGACGCGCCGTCGTCCATCTGGCCGGCAGCAGCAGCTGCAGCTGCCCCGTCCCGCCCGCTCTGGGAGCTGTACCCCCCCGGCGCCAGAGCTGCCGCCGCTTGGAGCCTGTTTGTATGTATGTATGTATATATGTATATATGCGTGTGCAAGCACAGGCGCCCACCGATACGTCGTCACAAAACTCCGTTTACTTATACATTCAAACATACACGGAACGCAGCCACTGAACCTACACACATGTATATATACATATCTATATATAGTATATTAATATAATATATATAATACAATATAATATAATATATACATACGTGTATATGTGTATATGTAAGCATATAGATGTATACATGCACGTATGTATGTGCTTGGAAGAGGAAACTGTTGTCAGTTGCCAGTTGGTCCGTTGGTTCAGTCTGAGCTGCGTCCGCACAAACACACTCATACACACATTGGAAAAGGTTTAAACCCTAAAACCCTAAAACCCTAGAAAAACCTGGAAGCCACATGGCCCCAGCCAGAGCCCAACGTTACCTCGTAATAGCCACGTGGCTACACGCATATCCGGGGGGGTGACTCCCCTGACCTAAGAACCATCGCACCAATCCATACACTTGTTCGTGCCTAAACTACCCCCTCTTTCCCCTTCTCCCCCCCTCTCCCCCCCTCTCCCCCCTTCTCCCCCCCTCTCCCCCCTTCTCCCCCCCTCTCCCCATTCTTCCCACTCTCCCCACTCTTCCCACCCAATGACACAGAACCTTCGGGCCCCATCACCTTCTGTCCATAATCCGTGCCTCCCGTACCAGCCGGTGATGATCCTCCGCTCCCGGCCCCGTCAGCACTTGACGAGCAGGACTCAGGTAAAAGGAGTGTACGGCAGCCAGAGATGAAACCGTTGCGGTGTACGACGGGAAGCCGCCGTTGTCGTCCCCGGTGCTGACGACAGATGCCGGCATTCCGAAAGCGCTGCCGCTTAAAGCTGGACCAGCGGGCGCCGCGG